TCAACTGTTGGCTAGCCAACCAACCATCCCCACGAAGAAATTCGAGACTATTAATACCAACGCTAATGCAGATAGGCGAATTCACGATTCATGATTTTGCAATACAGAGGATTTACTATAGAAGGCAGGTGGGCGCCATTGGTTTCATTCTGTTCTAAATTCTTACTATTGTCCAGGATCTCAAACGTAATGTGCAATCATTTAGTTACCTCAGATTTGAAAACCTAAGAGGGTTTTGTGGGGAAATTACAGAGCCATTTGTGTAATGGATAAACAACAATATGGACAGGTTAGGCTGAGTAGCATTTTTTTTGGTAATTTCTGCGTAATTCCCCTTTTCTCTCTAACAATGAAAACTTTTGAAACTGAAACCTTATTGTTATCTCATCACTGCTTCCAAACTTATATTCTCTTTCTACCTTTCAACTTTGCTGGTGCACTGCGCTGTGAGCTGCAGCTATTCTGATAATTCTCAGTAGAAAATCTAAAATGTTATACTTAATTATCCTTTTATAGCGTCTATGGTTTAAGTCCTGCTGTTTAGTGGCACCAATATCACCTCTGAGTCAGCAGATCATTGTTCAAGTCTCACTATAGAGATTTGAACATATCATCCAGGTTGACGTTCTGGAATAATACTGAGGCAAAGCTGCATGTCAAAAGTACCATCTTTCAGATGGGATATAACACGAAGGTCTCATCCGTCCTCTCAAGTGAATGTAAAAGATCCCATGGGACTCTTGTGAAGAGGACCAGAAGAGTCCCCTCTGGTAGCCTCAACAATATTTACTCTGAAAGATCACAAGAACACAGAGAATCGGATCATTATCATTGATGTTTATATGAAATTACTGTATGCAAATTAGCTCCTGTGGTTCCTACATTACAAGTGACAACAGTTCAAAAATCACCTACAGTGACTACACTGTAAAGCACTTTAGCATGACCCATGACCATGAACTTTTTTAAACAAATTTAAGATCTTTCTTCCTTCTTGACAGAAAAATGATTTTTAAACTTTAGTACTCTCAACTTCTTGATGTGATGAAATGTTGGAATGAAATTACATAATTGTATTTCTAAAGAGAGGTTTAGCAAAGGTCTTATCAGAAGAACCATTTACTATTCAATTATTCCTTTTACATATATTTATCCATATTTTGTAAGCTATCTGAAAGTTAGGAGAAGACTTCACACCTTTATTTGATTCCTCCCCACAAAGCCTGTGGTTCACTGGCAAGTTATACCAGTCTTACCCAGAGCAAAGTTAATCACTAACCCCAAGCACTGAAGCAAAATCCAGCTGTCTGGTTTAATAAGCAGGATACTGTCAATACAACAAATGTTGAAAATATTCATTTCAGGCTCTGTTTGAATTGAACGAAGAAACCAACATATGCCAATAGTCCTCAGCAAGTCCTATTTTGTTTTCAAATGAGAAAAGGACTGTCACCATCTTTGAGAGAAATAACTTGCATTTTATTCCACTTTTAATGATCACAGTATGTTCAAAAATCCTTCAGTCAATGAAGCCTAGCTTTTGTAGTCATTCAGGGAACAAGCACCCAAATTACACAAAAGATCTGGAAATAGCAATGAGATAAGCAACCAAATCACTTTTACCAAGAGATATATATTGTTCAGCAGACTGGGAAGAGTTAATTCTCTTTCTCATCTTTGAAATAGTGATCCTTTACATCCCCTGAAAGGTCACCTAGCCCTTGGTTTAATGCCTCAGCTGAAAGACTACAGCTCTAACAGTGGAGCACTCCCTCAGCAATAGAGTATCAGCCTAGATTTTAAGGTATGTGTCCACATAGCTGCTGGAAACAGACATTTCTGGGTGAATTGAATACATGAAGCAAAATTTGTAGTGACCAAGATCTCAAATAACAAGACAGGGGGAGATTAAATCATACTGGAAACAACAGCACTGGGGTAGTGAGCTGGTATTCAAGCCATATTATTTCCAAAGTCATCACAAAATATAAAGATTTTAAAAAGTATGCAGAATTCTCCAATTGCCTGCCTTTTAGACCCAGGTTGATAGGAAGCTTGGACTAGGATTCTGTACTTAACAAGAATGACTATTTGTTACGTGTAATTAGACTCTAGTGACTGATGAACAGCTATAAACAGTCAGCTTATAACGTTACGAATTAAACTCAAATCCCCTTATAAACTCGTTCTTACACACACACACACACACACACACACACACACACACACACACAGACAAACAAACAGGGTAAAATACGTTATGAACAGAGTGGGAAGAATTGGAAACACAATGGTATTATCACTAGACTTTCCCACCTCAAAGTGGATGACTCTTAACTGCCCTCTGGGCAATTAGGAACAACAATAATGTTGACCAAGTCAGTGATGCCTACGTCCCGTGTGTGAATAATAATAAAAAGTTCACTACTGTTTATTCCCAGGTACCATTGTGGATATGACCTTTATGACTCTTCTGCTGGCCAGCACTTGGCTTCAGTTGCCTTTCTCTAATTGCTTCCACCACCTCATCGTTTCCTCACAAAAAAATCTCTGACTTATCAGTTAAAAGCCATAGCTCATAACGACTGTTGCAGGAAAGGTATCAGGTTTTGACTGCAGAGAACAAAGAGACTGTTCCCGAACTGAGGCAGAACTGAACATTTCTCTCTCTCTGAGTAACATATT